GCACTGCAGCTTTATTATGTTCGTTTGTTTCAGGTCTGCTTGTCTAGCTGCAAATAGGCAGATCAGCTCTCCTCATATTTAGAGAAAAACCTCTTTTCTATCTGGGTGAGTTTCCTTATACAATGGTCAGAGGAGCCCTGTCTTTCTGCAAGCTTGCTGTTACAGCTTTTCTGTTCGTGATTTCACCACCTAAATGTTTCATTGTTTTTCACAAACTTTTATTTTCTTGCATTATTTGGGTATTTAATATTTTCTTTTGGGACCCTTACTTCGAAGGGTTTTCCAAGGGGGCCCCTCTCATTTGTTGAGTAATTCTCAGTCTTAGCTACACAATGGAATCACCTTGGGAAGGTTTTTCATCTACGGATACATGTGTCCCACCCGAGAGTGTCTGATTTAATCAGTCAGAGGTGTAGACTAGATACTGGGACTTTTAAAAGCTCCCTAGGTTAGTTCCAAAGTGCCTCCAAGATTGAGAGGTACTGCGTTGGGTTAGTGCTTTCAAACTTTCATGTACCCATGGCAGGTCACCTGGGAATCCTGCTAAAATGTAGATGCTGATTCAGTCAGTCTGGAGTGGGACCTGAGATTCTGCATTTCTAACAAGCTTCCAGGTGAATCAGTGCAGCTTGTCGAGGACCACACTTTCCAAGGCACCCACGAAGTAATCTACTTCCAAATGCCCTCTATTCAAGCCAGGACGAATTAGCTCTCACCTTATTCTTTTCCTGTCCTAACCCTACAGACTCTAGTACCTCACATTATTTATAGCTAGGAACTTTTGTGTATATACTGTTGTTTTGTTTCTAAACATCTGACAGCAAGGATTCTTATTATATTCAAACATAAAAGATTATCTGGAAAACCAAAACCCTCACATCAGATTCAGAATGTTGAACTTAGGCTCACAAAAACCAGCGTGCAATTGCTGATGTGGGGACCCACTTAGAACCTCAGAGTTAGTATGAAAATTTTTTTAAACTCAAGCCACTTGGTATTCAACAGATACAGAAAGAAGCCTTCTAGAAGCTTCCCTTACCTGACTAAACACCGAGACTTCTAGAAAATGAGGTTGCTATACTTCCCTCTTCGGGGTAGCTTTTACTTTCAGGAAGAAGACCAAGAGTAAATCTGCCATAAATTACTTCTCCGGGGCAGTTTATGGCCTTGAAGGAGATGTAAAGACTACTCACACCTGCATAAATAAGCATTATCGCAAACTTTCCTCTCTCTCTCTCCTTCTAGAAACCCATGTGTTCTTCCTATAGAGGTCTTTATTCCCACCTCTCTTTTCTCTATTGAGTTATGTATGTAAACCTCTAACTTTTACCACTTATTGAGCTACTTCTTTTGTGAACTCCTGTATGCATATGATAAGGTTTTTTCTTCCTGTTAATCTTTTATCATCTTAATGATAAAGGTCTCCAGGCACAGAATTTAAGAGGGTAGAGGAAAAGGTTTTGTCCTTGAGACTGAGACACTGGAGGATGCTGTTAAGTAACCTTCCCTCAGGTCTAGGTCTGTTCTCTGTCCCCTTCCAGCGCCACCCCCATGCATTCCCTCTCATGTTCCTATCGTCCTAAAAAAAAAAAAAAAAAAAAAAAAAAAA